GGGCCTGAACTAAAGGGGGTCTCGGCCGCGCTCGGGGCGGCCGGCCTTTCCCATTATGTCTCCGCGCCCACCCACCCGGCCCTGCCGAGGCCCCCGCCCCTCCGGAGAGCCCGCCCGGCTCCCGCCGGCGCCCTCGTGGGGACCGAGAAGGGGCCGCCCAGGCCTAATGAATTTCAATGAGCAAAGGCCACGTTCAGTGACTGGCGTTAATGACGGAGCGCACAGAAAATGTCACCAGGAAAGTTCTTTACAAAAAGACATCATCTCGAAGGCTCTATAGAGCCGGGACCCCCACGCTGCGTGTCTCGGCTCAGAAAGCCCGGCTTCTGTGAAATCTAATTACTTCCCCCCTGTGGCTCTAAATCGAGGCGGCTCCTATTCAACTTAATTACCCTCCCCGCTGCTCTGGCTTTAAAGCTCCCGGTAAATGCGGGGCGCTGGGAGGATGGCAGCCCTGCAGGCCGGGGGCCCCAAGAGGAGCCCAGCCTCTGGCTCCTCCCCCCACCCCTCTCGGTCCACTTGGTGGGGCAGGAGAGTGACCTCTGACCCCAGCCTCAGGGAGAGGCCCCGGCTCCCTACACCTCTGCCCCAAGAAGCACCTTGTGGGGGTCCCCCAGGGTTCTGCCCCTCCCACCAAACAGATAGGAAGTGGGGGCCCAGGAAACGTGGTAGAGCACCCTGAAACCCCATAACCCATGAGTGAGGGGGCCCGTATCTGTATCCAGGGCTGTGTCTTGTAAACACCAGTCCTGGCCCGCCCTGGCCGTGCAGGACACAGCACAGTGAAGCTGGTCCGCGTGTTCGATTCCAGGCCAGGGAGGGGCCCCAGGGCGCAGAGGGCCACTCCTGTTTCCCCTCTGCCCCCCTCAGCAGGGTATTTCAAGACATCTGACTGTCCTGCCCTCCGCTGTGTGTCTGGTGACTCCTCTCCCCCCTGCACCGCTGGCCTGCACCCCAGTTCTTGTATGCATAATAAATAAATGTTAACAAATAAAGCAACACAGGTCCTACTGTGTCTCGGGTGGGCTCCGGGGTGGGGGCTCCATCCGCAGACCCACAGCCGCTGACCCCTGCTGCCTTTGCTGTCTTCAGCCTTGTCCTGGGGGGACAACAGGAGGGGTGAGGTTGACGAAGGATGGACAGGACACCATAGAGGCCGCCCCAGACCATGTATGTCAGAACCTAGACTCGTGTGACTAACCTGTGCCCCGTGTGAGTCTGTTGGACAACCTGTGAGTGTTGGGGGGGGGAGGGGCACGGGGGCCGGGGGTGGTGGTGAGGCCCCCGGGGTGCCTGCGGAAGGGGCTGCCCAGCGGAGAAGCCGGTGCTGGCCAGCAGGGGGCGTTGCGCAACCCGCGGACTCTCCAGGTGAGCACAGCCAGGTGGCTGCCGGAGCTGCCCAGGCAGCTTGCCCATCCCTGCACCCTGAGCCTGCAGTGCAGCCCCCACGCCCCCCATACCTCAGTCCCAAGGCACGGGACTGGGCCGACTGAGACTTTCGGGCTCTGATTCGGCCCAGGCGCCTGGGCCCATGGCCAGGGGAGGGTCACTCGCAGGAGCTGGGAGCAGGGTCTGGGCTCTCGGCCCAGAAGGCTGGCGGGGCTGGGCGTGCGGCTCTGTTCTGGACTGAAGTCAGCTAGGGTCTTGGACTGCCCTAAACCCTTTCTCTAAACCCCCCCTACCCCCCCACCCCCACTGACGTGGCAAAGGGAGACTGTCCTTCTGAGCCGGGACTCCGGCCAGTCCTGCAGGCCCAGCTGTTTCTTTCCGTTCTGTGCTTAGAATTTTGCATCACAAACTTGCTTTCCGAAGCAGCCAGAGCCTCCTGGCCCCTCCCCGCGGACCTCTGGGGTGGCGCCCGATCACCTTCCTTGCCGGGTGTTGGTGAGAACCTTATCAGAGTGAGATCTGCCCGGACGGGGGCTGAAGTCCAGGGTGAAGGGTGAAGGGCCCGGCTGCCTGCTGGTCCCCAGGTCGGGGCGTTCCGCTCAGCCAGCAGCTCTGCCCGAGTGTGCAGTTCTGAGCACCTGCTTCTCCACACCCTCCCGTCACTACTCCCGGGAGGCGGGAGGCGAGCCTGCCAGCCCAGCACCGTCAGAGTGGAGGAGGGAAACTGCAGGGCCTCAGTTTCCCCTTCTGTAAAATTAGTCGGGGGCGCTCCCTGTGGCGCAGGGCTGAGTCTCAGCACTGTGAGGCTGCCACAGCCAGGGCAGCAGAGCTCGCTCCCCGATGCCCGGCCAGGGAGGGACCCAGGCGCCGCAGACCCCTCACAGTGGCCCTCAGTAGATCCACCTGTTCTGTCTTGGGGATCCTCTCACCCTCCACACCTCTGGCCTGTACCCCAGTTCTTGTGTACATGAATGTTTTAAATCAAAGGCACACCCGATTCTCAGGGTTCATGTAAGAACCCCGAGATGTCTCCACCGATGCCCACGGGGACTTGGTCCGCCCGCCGGCCCGGGTGCAGGGGGACAGCAGGCGCCCTGACCCCCGAGGGCCTGCGCGGCTGGCCTCGCCATGTGTGCTGTGCGGGGAGCTGGCGGGGCCCACGGAGTCAGGTGACGGAGCCGCCCAGTGGCGGTGGCGAGGCACTGGGGGGAGGGGCCGGCAGGAGGGCCCCGAGGGGGTCCTGGGCGGAGCGTCCACCGGCCCCTGGCTTGGGTGTGGCGGCCCCCCGGCCGGCAGACTGGCCGCCAGGCTCAGGAGCGAGCGCCTGTCCCGGGTCTGCACCGACACGCGGCCGAGGCCGCCGCGCTCGAGGCTGATGCTGACCCGGCGGGCTGGCCGCGGGCAGGCCGGCGGGTGGGGCCTCGGAAGGAGCCCGCGGGTCCCCGGGAGAGGAGCCGCGACGCCTTAAAAGAAGAACGCCCCCTCCCAGGTTCCTGGTTCCTGAAAGGCCCAAGCGGATGGGCACTGGGGGTGGGGGCTGACCGCTTAACGGGTCCTCTCCTGGCGAAGGCTTTGTGACTCCATCAGGCCAGTCGTTCTGTGCTCTCCCGCCATGCTGGATTTCACAGTCCTTCTGAAGAGCTTGCTTATGCACACAAGAACCGGAGTCTGAGCTGGAGGTGCGGGGGCCGAGAGGACTCCCCGGAGACAGTGGGGAGCAGAGCAGGCGGACTGACGGAAACCCACTGCTGAGGGGCAGCGGGGGCAGGAGCGGTCTGCGGCGCCACAGGGGTCGCTCCCGGCCGGGACTGCAGGGCTGTGGGCAGCCTCACAGGGCTGCGCTTTAACCCCCGGGCCTCCAGGGAGGGCCCGGAATTTTGCACTTTAAGTGACTAATTTTTTGTTACGTGGACATCGTGCAAAACACCCGCCAGAAAGCATGCACGAAAGACCGCACCCCAGAGGGCGTCGCCTGCAGGCTCGGTCCCAGCGCGGGGCTGGAGCAGCACGTCCTGCACCTGGCGGACGGGGCTGGCGTGGTCAGTGTCTGCCACGGCCCTGCCGACTTCACATGGGTCAGAAAAGTGCGTGTGGACGCAGCGAGCCCCATGCG